GTGACCCGAGGTACCACTGTAATGGAATGTGGTTTGCATTGATTCATCAGTATGAAGTTGCAACAAAACTCAGTGACAAAGCAAGTACCTTGTTTTAAGTGGAAAGTGTATCTGTGTGTCTGTAGGTTACACCATCAATAATTTATCATTTTTACTGGGATAGAATAAGGCTAGGCCAAAATGTTTTTGTTTATAAATATAAAATGTACATGCCTGCCTGCCTGCCTGTCAGTGTGGACTTCTGGCAACTGCCAAGACTGCAGTTTTCTTGGCCAGATTTTGGCTTGCTGTTACCTTCTTCCTGGGGTTAAGAAAGTGATTGGCTTAAAGTCATCCAGCTGGTGGATGCACAACTAGAACTCACAGTCTCTCGGTTTCTAGACTGATGCTTTAACCACTACACCAAACTGGTTCTCATTTTATACGTATTAGGCAGATTAAATCTACTGGAGTCTAAAACATGTGTTTTACTATTTATTTTGGTAAAAAAAAAAAAAAGAAATATTGCACCATTGATTGAAGGAACAAAAAAGATATGTTTCACCCAATGAGTCATTAAGTAGTATTAAAGTAAAATCTACTTTCCCTTTAGTGAGGAAAAAATTTAGGCAAACTCATCTTTCGAGGGTTTACATTGGACCAACACCAATACAAAAATTACTGGCTCAAATCTTAGATTGCTAATCACGTTGACTGCTACTTGCAGACTGAACTTTACTCTCTTTCTGCCATTGCTTTTAACGCAATTCTGAATGAAATAAGGTTCCATGTGCCTAAGAATATTTCTAATGTCCCTGATCCTAGTTGAGTTATGTGGTTCCTTTTTTTGCCCATAAGGTACATAATACTCATTTGGGATTCAGCTGGTGAAGTTCATATTCCTTTAAAATTTGACAAAATAGCAGGTGGAAATCCACAGTAAACATTACACTTCCATAAAAAGTATGTCAGGGATGAAGCCTACCTATCTTTGCAAAAATGACTTGCCATTTTCCCCTCTTTTTCAACACTCCTCTTGGATGAAAATGACAGATTATTCTTCTGAGTCCTGCTCAAGAGGGTCCCACCATCTTTTTGACTCTTCCCCTCCCTCTCCCCCAGTTGACTCATGCATGGCTAACTCCAAAAGAATTCATTTCCATGTGGGGAGTTCCATAGGCGTGTTTTCAGGAGGTCACTTGTACAGGCATTTGTTGGATTGCCCCTGTTTCACAGGCAGGGAGGGTGGTCTGAGGCCTCTAATTGTGCATCTGTCTCCTTGGCAGGTTGTGATTAATATTCCCTAGGAGGCTTGTACAAATGCACTGCAGCTGCCTAATGAGCCTCCCCTTTTGCCCTTCATCTCCATGTATTGTTCTTTTTTCTCCCTTCTCTTCCCAGGCTGCTGATACACTGGCTGTACGACAAAAAAGGCGGATCTATGACATCACCAATGTTTTGGAGGGGATAGATCTTATTGAAAAAAAGTCAAAAAATAGCATCCAGTGGAAGTAAGAGAAGCAATTTATGTATACTTTTATATACACACTGAACATTAGAAAGGTATAGTTCTTCCACCGTGGTGATGAATTTAGGACTTTTGGAGGAATTTCTGTTTATTTTATTTTTATATAAATTTAATTTTTTTATTTTATTTTTATTTAAATTTTATATAATTTAAATAAAATTATATGTTATTTATTAGGACACTTCTAAGCTGTTTTTTTTAATAAACAAACTCAAGCAGTTTAAACAGTTTACAATAGAATTTTTTTACCTTATTTTGTAATCAAGTTATTGAAAGCCATCACAATGTGTAAAAAAGGCATAACACTGACCAATCAGGATAGAAGGCCCAGCAACGCAAATTAACCAAAGTCCTAATGAACCAGTATGGGCTTCAGCTGATTTTAAAATTTACAAGGCTGGGCATCCACCATAAGTAAACAAGGAAAGAATCTATAAATGATACGGAGGATGCCCTGTTTCACCTTTCCACAGTGCAAATTGGTTGCCAGCATAGCACATTAAATAGGCATTTCTGCTAGACCTTACTATTCAGTCCTTGATGATAATATGTACCAGTGATTACCAATTTCTGTATTTTCAGCAGACATTATACTTCAGATTGTAGGAAACTTCAGCAGAAATAGGAAATATGTTTTTTACCAGTGCCCATAAAAATGTACAGAACTGCCTTTCCATGTCTCTGAGATGATGGTAAGAGTCTTTTATAGGCCTGGTTGGAGATGTTAAGGATCAGGTTGGCAATTCTTGAATGTAGATCAGGTATCTACTACTGAACTACAACTCTTTTCCTGATTACTAGGGATCAGGTAATAGAAATTTTGCAGTTTTAGGGCACATGCTCAGGCCATGATATAAGAAAATAAACAGTCTCTTTCAAAAACTATTTTTTTCTTCCTTAGAATGAAACTTAATATTTTTACATTAAGGGGTCTTCTCTGTAACAGTGTTAAGCTCTTTGTCTCCCATGCTAAAACCAGCTGAAAATGAAGCCAGTTTAAGACATTTCTGCCCTTACAAATAGTCCTTGGTTAATGACCACTCGTTCAGCAACTGGTCCTCAAAATTCCAGCTGTCCCAGCACCCCCATGGTCATGTGATCACAATCTGGGTGCTTACGAAGATCGCAGAATCCCGTGACCTTCCCTGCCTGTTTCCCACAAGCAAAGTCAATGAGGAAGCTGTGACAAAGCCAACAGGGAAGGTCGCAAGTCACTCCTGTAAGTTGCTTGCACTCCCATGGCTTTTTCTCCTGAGGAGCCCAGCTACAGAGTACAAGATCCCAGGAATCATACTTGTAGGATGCATACACCTGCAGCAACCGCCTGTGCACCCTCACCCACCTGGCAACAGCCACCCATGGCCTGCCGTGTTCACGCCACCCTGCAGCAGCTACTTTACCCACCCGCTGGCCTGCTTATGAGCCAACTGGGACCTGACTTCCCCATCGATTTTGCTTATTGGAAGCCAGCAAGAAGTTCCAAGGAGGTCCTTGCTTAACAACTTGCGATCCTCACCTAATGAAGGCAACAGGGACTGCTGGGATTGCCGTCACTAAGTGATGCAGTCACGTGACATCGTGCTTTATGACTTCATTGCTTAGCTATGGAAATTCTGGTCCCAATTACCGTTATTAAGCAAGGACTACCTGTATTTCAATCATTCTTCAGCTTTGACAACAATGCTGGCAAGGTGTTCAATCCAGACAGCAGTTACTAGTCCATGATTGGTGCATTTGTCTGAGTCTTTAGCCAGGAAAGTAAGCACCAATCACTTTCCTTTCCAGGGTGGGTCTTTGAGGACACATGGTTTCCATGATGGACCTTTTGTATGAACCCCCTTCTGTTGACTCTCTCTTGTATCTGACCTATTTCTACCTGGCATGTCATCAGTGTACCAGTTGAAAAAGAAAGAAAGAAAGAAGACATTGTTTTACCATTCTTTCTGTCACTTGGGCTAGAAGGGAAAACTGGCAAAACTTTTGTCACCTTCAGAAATAGATGAACACAGCTTAAAAGACTGTGAAAACCTGCTGATTTTTTCCCCTTAACTAATTTTGTCTACTTGTGACTTCATAATATCATTAATTTTTTGCTTTCAGAGGTGTAGGGGCTGGTTGTAATACAAAGGAAGTCATTGAGAGACTGAGATACCTTGAAGCAGAAATCGAAGATCTAGAAATAAAAGAAAAGGAGCTGGATCAGCAGAAACTGTGGTTACAACAAAGTATCAAAAATGTTAAGGAAGATTCCACCAATAAATGATATCCTTTGACAGTATGTGCTATAATTTTTAGAATAGGATAAGCCTTCCCTTGGGTCCCTTCTACACCTTTAATATTGATTCTAGAGGGTTAAGAAACCTTCCAGACTAGAGATGGAATTGGGGCAGGACACAGGAATAGGAAGTCCCACTGTACAATTAGATTTGTGTTCCTGTTGAATTGCCTGTATATTAATTACACACTCATTGCCCGCCCCCCAGTGTTATGTTGGTCTAGAGGGGCCTGTATGACATTGGGCACTGTACTGAATTTGAATGGTTGGCAGGAAAAAAAAATCTCTAGATTATAACACTACACAGTGGCACATTTCCTTGAGACTTAAAGTCATGCTTCCAGTCTGATGGCTCTCTCTCAAGGTCACATCTAAAATGAAAGAAGCTGTTTCATTATTTTTGAATGATACAATTTCACTCATGGGTGGTGAATGGTACACAAAATATTTGGCGAGAACTACTTTTTTAAAATACTTCTTTGAAAATCTCACCAGCTATACTTGTATAATCAATTTATCTTGAACAATTCCTTGACAAGACCCACTTTTTCATACATCACTCATGAAGACATTTGTGACTGCTTCAATGGTAAGCTGAGAAAAGATTAAGTCTACTTGTAAATTATGTTTCCTACATGGGGCACACAGGCTGTGAAGTTAGTGTTAATTTAAACATATACTAATTGTTTTTCAGAGATCTTACCCCCATGAAATCCTCAGGAGCTTTTTAACTAATGACTTATATCTGCTATTCACAGTGCAGTGTACTAGCACAGTGGGATTTCTGTCTAAAAATCAGAGCAGAAGGAAACAGCACCCATATGGGACAGAAGATAAAATAGCCAATTTAGAATTAAATAAGACTTTCTTGTCATTAAAGCATGACTTTGTGTTTATGAACTAACAGTGTTGACTGTTGCCATGTATTTTATTAGGTATGTTATATGTTATTTGCTGTGTGCATTAAAACATGGAGTTTCAGACTGAATTGAGATTGAACTGAAAGAATTCATCTAAAAATATGAACAAATGCATTCAAATAATATCTGACTGTTCCTTCATAAACAGGAGATACACTACTAGCAATTCAAGCACCTTCTGGTACACAGTTAGAAGTTCCTGTACCTCATGTGGTATGTGGAAATAACTGTTTTGATCTGATTTGGGGGAACTAGAGAATTTACTGAACATTCATTGAGCAATGTGTTTAGTAACTTGAAAAATATATCTGTTTTTGTAACAGTTTTGTAAAGTTTAATACTATTCATGATTCTCAGAAATTGTTTTAAAAAATGCAGTGTTCAGTAATTCAGTTATCTACCTAAATTATTGATACTGATGTAAGGGTTATTTAAACTGCAGCTTGGTGATGTGGTAGTGGTGATGATGTATAATTCCACTAGGATAATATTTGTCTTTCATTATTAACCAACTTCAGTTTGAAGCTTGTATGCTGCTGAAGAAGTCATATATGAGTGACTGCATTCACATGTTGCACTTAAGTATAAAATGTTAAAATGGCACATCATTACACTTCTAGAGCCATAGGTTTAGCTGGTGGCTTCTTCTGTGATTAGCCACAGAATTCACAGTACTTCTGACCTGTTTAATGTTCACAAATCGATCAACTAGAAGTTATGGTTTGCAATGGCTGGAAGTAGCGTATATCTAGTATTCAGAGTCCCATATTATAATTAGGAATGACTTCCAAACTACAGATGGAAAGTGCATTATTTTATCTTACCCTCAGATTAGCACTACCTAGATAATAATTTTCTGATTAACTTTTTCAATTGCCTAAGTTTTACTTATAGGTACAAGGGGAAATTGCTAATGGATTGGATCCAAACTTTGTCTTATGCAAAGCTGACTTACTGATATCAACGGGGCAAGTTAGGGATGACAAACCTAAGCCCATGATTTTGGTGGGTCTGCTCCAAAATAAAAAAGTTTGGATCATAGAATCTAACAATTGGAAGGGACCATTTCGGTTGCCATGTCCAAGCTCATGCTTAGTGCAGTAATCCAAATTAAAGCATCCCCACACATCTAGCAAAGGAGAATTCACCACTTCTTTGGGGAACTGGCTCCACTACCAAAATGTTTATACTGTTAGAGCCTTTTTGCTAACACTCAATTGGAATCTACCTTCTTGCATTTTAAAGCTATTTTTCTGTATATGGCAGTCAGCAACAATGGAGAATAATTCCATATAGTATACTTATTTACTTTAAGAAGAGGAAGCTTGTTTAACCTTTCCCCCAAGCAGGAGTTCATGAATTGTAAACCAGGGGTGTCTATGGGGTCAAATGGGTTTATCTGATGAAAGCAGTGTTGTGCCATCCCAATGTAGGGCCCAACCTTTTGGATGCATATTATGATGTTGCATGCATGTCTGAAAGGGACAGGGGTTGCGATACAATGGCATGATGCTACTTTTGTCATTTTGGTGAAAGTAGGATGTGTGGATGCCCATGCATTAAACACAGAAAACTGCATAGCTTATTATTCCTCAAGACGTTTCATCTGTGGATTTTTAAAAAGACTGCTGACAAGCCAAGCTGCCCTGCCTTGTTATTTATTAGTGCCTAGTTGGTGTACTCAATCTCATTCTGATGCAGAGAATATGCACAACATATTTCTTCTCTAACTTCGTGTAAGAATTTCTGCCAGGCATTTTCTAGCTTTTCTTTCAAAAGAGGTCTTGAAGGAGTAGAATGGATTGTTTGTGTGAATATTCTGTTTTCTGAATGTAGGTTGGGGTTGTTGTTGTTTTTTGGTCTCCTCTCTATTTTGTCTTGGTTATTATGTAGCTGCAAATAGAGGAGAGATGGGGAAGTGCATTTTATTTCTCATGAATCTCTCTCATACCCATTCTTTATTCATCCAAGTACTCTCTACATTTAAAAGGAGGACAGATTCAGAATGGTAATTGCTATTGGTTAGTCTGGTTGGAAATAAAACCCTTACTTTTAACTTCAACTCTAAGTAAAAACCTTAGTAAATCTCATTTTGTTAGTTTTGTTGTCTAGAACCTTTAAAAGCTGTTATTTAACATCATAATTAATACTTAACATGTAAAAAGGTTTGTGGGCTGTGCCCACTTTATCCTTTTCTTTTATTATATATAAATTTTGCATATGGTACATTTATAACCACTGAAAAATTATCTACTGATGCAGACTAATGGATCTTTGTTGATAAAGACTGGAGAGTAGATTAGTAAGGAGGATTTGATTGATTGATTGATTGATTATGTGTCATCAAGTCAGTGTCCACTCTTAGCAGTCACATACATAGATTTTCTCTGTGATAATCTGCCCCTAACGTGGTCTTTCAGGTCTTCCAATGGAGCACCCATTGCCATTATAACTGAGTCCATCCACCTTGCTGCTGGTCATCCTCTTCTTCTCTTTCCTTTCACCTTTCCCAGCATTAGAGCCCACTTCAGAAAGCCTGGTCTTCACATAATGTGTCTAAAGTAGGATAATTTAAACCTGATCATTTATGCCTTGAGTGAGAACTCTAGGTTGATTTGTTTGATGATCCCTTGGTTTGTTTTCTTGGCTGTTCACAGTATTCTCAGGAGTCTTCTCCAACACCATAGTTCAAAAGTGTCAATACTCTTCCTATCTTGCTTGTTCAAAGTCCAACTTTCACTTCCATAGAGTGTCACAGGGAATACCATTGCTTGTACTATTCTGATCTTAAGGAGGATTTGACTATGATAGTGCTACTATTCCCATTTTAAAAAATCCTTTTCTGAATGCTCAGTTGCACATCAGTTTGTGACCTTCAGTTGACCTAAGGTATTGCCTCAGTATGAATTTTTAAAATATCAGTAAATGCTCTGGAATCCTGCTGCAGTTCCTGAGTCAGAGTAAATTCAATATCTGCATCCACTTCCAGAGAATCCCTTTTTTCACCTTCCTATGCAAATTTTAAACATGTGAATATACAATGCCTTTATTATCTGGCATACTGAAGAGTTTTCCTTTGGGGTTGTGCATTTTACTTGTTTGCAATGATTTTACTCCATTAAAACTGCTAAATAAATAAATGTTATGTAGAGATAATTTTATAAAAATGATGATCCCATGTTGAAAAGGAACCAGCTATTAACTAAGGGAAGAAAGCATATTAGCAAACTGATTCCCTGCTTTTGCAGTGCAAAACATTCATTTATAATTTTGAACAGAATCGGTTTTGATTGACTACTGGTTACTAATTCTGTTTTGATATAAAGGACTGTAAAGCTTTTATTTTACTTTACCACTCTCTCTAAAGGGGCAAAAGAAATACCAGATCAATCTAAAGAGCAATCTGGGACCTATCCATGTACTGCTCATTAACAAAGAGTCCAGTTACTCCAAGCCAGTTGTTTTCCCAGTACCTCCACCAGATGATCTCCTGCAGCCTCTATCACAATCCGCAGTTCCACTCACCTCCTCTAAACCAAATGCAGATACTCAGAGATTACAAGAGTCATCAGATTCTAATCAGAAGCAATCCCTTCCACAGACCCCAGTGACAGATGTGCCAACAGGTGGGTATAGAAACTCCTTCCCCTCTCAGGAATTAGCCCAGAAAACTCAGTGCCATTGGTATTTGGATTTTTTTGCACTGCCTTCTCAAGGAACTTGGTTATATCCTGTATGATTTTTTTAGGCTTACTGTACTATATTTCAGTGTCATATCTAAGTATACGATTAGGACAGTCATCTCCTAAAATTAATATATTTGCTAAAGAGAGAACCTAAAAACTAAGTTAATACTATTAGAAAACACTTTTTAATTACAGCTCTTTAAAATGATAGTGTTTTTCCTAGGATTCTGTGCAATTGTGAGATAAGACACAGTTGCTTTAAAGTACTGCAGATAAGTGCACATTCATTTCCCTGCATGCTCCAAAGTATCAGATCTGATTTGATTGCTGTCCATCATCAAGAAAACAACAGAGGCTCTGTGTAGACAAAAAGCTTGTGCATATCTTAATAAGCTGAGAAGCAGTGATCTAAACATGACTGCTGCCCATACAAGATTGCTATTAAATCTATCAATATTTACTTATTTATTTTTTTATGCTGTTTATTGGATTTTTCTTAAATGGATCACTATAATGGTTCATGCTTAGCAGCTCAAAATTAAGGTTACAGGGTTAAGTCTACAGAAACCTTGAAGACATGAGACATCTTTTTGTTAATCATATAAATACACTGAAAATAAATGCATGGTAATAGCAAGTAGTCTTAGTTTTTCATGCAGTGGTTATTTACAGACTGGATTTCTGAAATTTATTTTGCATGGAAAAGGCTTTAAAGACAGGCCTAAACCTAATTTGTGGGGTGACAACAATCTTACCCAAACCTGGGGGTGGCTGGCGCCTTGATGACATTCCCCGAGCGACTGCCAATTTTATGTCTAACGTCGGAACTATTTATTTTCTATTTATTTAAGATTATTGTATGTTGTAATTTTAATTGATTTTAACTGTTTTATAAACCACCCAGAGTCATTTCAATGAGATGGGCAGTGACAAATTCAATATATTAAATAAATAAATAAACAAACAACAAACAATCAATCCAAGATAGATTTATCTGGATGACAAGGCTGCTGTTGGACGTCTGCCATTTTAGCACCAATTTTGTACTAGATGCACTGACTTTGCTTATGTTTGCCGACCCAATTCAAAGCACTGGTCTTAACTGCTGCCCGAACATTTAAAATCCATTTTGGAGGTCTTCTCTGTTGGGTCCTTAAAACTGTAGGATCCCATTCATGTTAACTTACATTTTGTCCTTGTGCAGTGAGGCAGTTAAATAGACTGGAAGATATTGTTCTTCACTAGTGCTTTCATACTGAAATTGTAATTAGTTTACATATTTGAGCTACTATCTATTGTGCCATTAGCTAGCTAGTTACTTCTTTATGTATTTGTGTACTAGCTAGTGTGAACATTTTGCTTCTTGCCTCTGCTTTTAATTGTGTGTCCTTTCATGCTAATATTGGTACTGCAATCTTCTCAAGTTCCAGCTCTGTATGAGGTGGCATGGGCTACAAAAAATGAAAATTTAAACGATGCTCCAAATCTTGCAAAAATGCCAAATTTTGTGAGATTTCAGAGTTTCTAACTGAAATATTATGAGCATGTTGAAATCTTGCAGGATTTCACAAGATCTTGGGATAAAGCCACTCTCCTTTTAAAATATATATATACATATTTAATTTTGAGATTCTAGGGATAGGATTTTCAAAGGCATTTTGGTAGCCAGGAGTGCTGTGTTGTTAACCTGTACTCTCTGTTTCTTTATTGCACTGAACTACCATGTTGGATTTTAACCTGAAAAATTTCCACTGCTACAGACATCAATTTACAAGGAAGCCCAGCTCCTGAAACGCTGTGTGCCAGCATTCCAGATTCTGAACTATATGACAGCCTTGTAACTGAGACCACACCTAGCTCAAATACTCTTCCTTCCTTCCTTCCACTGGATGTCAATAGTATTCTAAAGTCAAACACATTTGACATAGCAAAGATGGAGGAGCCTGGAGGTAAAGATCATATTACATTTAATGTTAATTGGGCAGTATCCTGAAATCCAAAACTTGAAGAATGAATCTCACTTTTCTTGTTTGGTAAAAATGCTTAGCTTTTTTTTTTTTTTTTTGGTCTTATCACTGGCTTTACTTCTGGGGTCAAGCCTTTTCCCCTGTAGCTGTTGTGTAGCTGTTGTATATGGTATTGAGCCAAAGGTTCGGGGGGTGGGTGGCTAGACTTAGGACAATATCGCCAATTTCTTGCATCTACAGTGCAACCACATACATTTGGGGGACAATTCTTACTGCCAGTAGCTGCTTGATCAACTTTTCCTTTTGGATCAGCTTTTCCTTTGTGACACCACAGAGCTACCTAGATTGGCTTACAGATCTTGCAGTGGTCCCAGACAGAATACACAAATGTTCCTTGCCTTGCTGATGCCTTTACTGTGTGGAGCAACAAGCTGAGGAACTTTTTGTCTGGTCATTTCAGCAACACCATGAATGGTTTCCACTTCTCTCCAAATCTTTAATTAAGTTTCATAGATAAATCATTGGAAGGGAAGAACAGAGAAAAGGAAGGTTGTGGCTGAGAATGAGACCTCCCGGTTTTAGATTAGTCCTGTATGTAGGTGCGTGTAACATGAAGAGAATATTCTAAATGATTTTAACACTCATTTGTTGGAATCAACACTGACATTAAAGAAGTTTAAATTATGCTACTTGCACATTGGTTTTGCCCACATTTTTTGAAAAAGGATAGTACTCATAAAGTACTTGCCTAATTCCTTGTGTGCTTTATAATGAAAATGTTCTAAAGCAGTTTTTGATTGTCTCCTAGCTGATGCTTCTGGTTGTTAGCCAAGGGCTTGGTTTCTCCCAATGTGCTCCTCATAACTGCCGTGTGGTTGGGGTTTCTTTATTCTGATCCTTGTAATTTGAGATCACAGTATTGGGTGTGACACAGCTCTTTGTGTTCATTTCACCAAGAATAGCTTACATGAAGTATTAGAAGGCCAAAAGGAAGTTCCAAGAGATTTAAGTAAATGAAGCCAGATTACCTCTTTATTTTACTAAAAATAGATTACAATCTTGTAACTTTCTTCCGTTCATTAGCCAAGTTGATCTCATCAAGTATGCTGGGGCAGGTTATCTTTTTGAGGGTGGAAAATGCTTTGTGGAGATTTGAAGGTTTGTTAGTTTAGTAAAATATGTGTGTTAGATTTGTCAGAGACTCAACATACTATTTTATGTTTTCACTGTTGTTCTCACTACAGTTGAAGTGGGAGGTTAAATGAGGTGTTTTGGTTTTGCTTAGGCATTTTAGTTTGGCATTTCTGCTTATGCATTATGTCCCTTTGTCAACAGGCATAATTAACAGTGATATCATTGATGAACTGATGTCCTCTGATGGTAAGTTTATTATATTATAAAATTTGATGTAAAGATGTAAAACTCTGCTCTATAGGTTTGAACAAGTGATAGTTCATAATGATTCCATTTTTGGATGGATGTGCAATTGTAGAAATAATAATTTAATCCATTGGTGTAAAAGATTTGGGCACTAAATTTTCCCCCTAACTAGTGGCATCTGACCCTTTTCAATACTTCCATTAAAAACAATGCTATGGTGACATTTCCTAGGAAGCACCTGGGTTAAAAGAAGCTATGCTGAATCACAGTCCAGCCAACCTTTGGAAGGCCATTAACAGGTTGTGAATTCAGTGGCAACCTTAGTCATATTTGTCAGCGGTAGTCACAGAAACACTGATGTTGAAGGCCATCAATAGCCATCCTGCCTAGAAGCCAACAGGAGTCAGACTCGTGGAGACTTGGGTTATCTCCTTTGAAACAGAACATCAGCAGTGCCCTGCTGGATCAGATCCCTGTCCCATCTAGTCCACCAATCTGTTCTCACAGTGGCCAACCAACTGCAGAAGGAAGTCCACTAGTCTCCCAGCAGATGGCCTTCAGAGGCAGTCACACTTCCATCAAGGCAAATAGCCACTGATCCCCACGACTTCCATGAATTAGCCCAACCTTTTTTGAAGCCAGCCAAGCTGGTAGCCATGGTAGAGAGCTATCCATCGCATTGACAGAACATACCATTCCATAACTGTATCCTATGAAGAATTTCATTTTGTTTGTTCTGATTTCTCTCCCACATTGAAGTTCATGGGGTACCACTTGCACATGCATAGCATGTGGGAACAAAATAACACAAACAAAAGAATACCAATGGAAAGCTAGTGTTTGTTTTTAAAATATCCATGCTTCCAGTAAATTCCAAATTATCTTTAATATTGCAGATGGGCAGAACTCATAGCACAATCCCAGGCATGCTTATTTTGAAGTAAATCCGATTGTACTCTGGGCCTTAGGATGTTCCATCTATAGTACTTTCTGCTATTCCATTCATGTAGGTTGGACTGAAAGCTCTAATCTGCTGAAGCAAGCATCTAGTTGACTTTTACTCAGAATACCCCTACTGGTGAAAGCAGGGGACAGGCAATTTTGGTCAATTTCTTCTTTCTCTATAGTCCCTACTTTTCAAGGCAGTCTTCCAGTTCTTTTCAGCACATGTTTGGGGGGCATAGGGAAATGCTGGAGAAAGGAGAATCTGGCAAAGACCTTTAATATCTAGCAGGAAAACTTCACTTGGTCAAAAGACGACTGCTGACAAAAGTCTCCCCTTATTTATAGACAATTCTGCTGCATTCAAACCTGTGGTTCAAATTGAATAATTTAATAAATGAAATGGTACTATTACAGAGGTATTAAGATACTCAATTTTATATTATTGAAATACCAAACCCTATTTCAGAAAAGGGTGAAAACAGAAAACAGCTGTTAGTTTAAAGTAATTTGTTCAAAATCCATCCCAAAAGTCTCATGTTGTCCAAGTTTAAACACCAATTCCATACTCTGAGGGAAACTAAAGTAAGGGATTTACTAATATCTGGCATTTCCTTAAAGAGGCTATGAAATTCAGTTCAATATTAAAGTGTATATTTTTATTACTTTTCCCATTATTTTTCCACTCATTGTTAAGTGAAATTCTGATTAAGTCACAAGTTTATTCTGTTTATAGCAAAGAAATGTAAACATTATTTAATGTGTAAATTCCTTTTATCTTACATTTTAACAAGCCATCAGAATATTAATATTAAACTTTACCAACGATGTGTAATGTTAGAGAGTAGAGATTTATTTTTTTAAACATCACAATTTTACTTTAAATTATAATTTGATCTAGTAATAGTAGACCAACATCCCATAAATTTAGTCCAGCTCTTTCTGTTGGTAAATAATTTGGCCTCTAGCTATGCATTGGCTCAACAGGGATGAAAATATGCGTTGTTTTAAAGAAGTCTTGGAATATTTCCTCTATTGCTTGAGTATTGTCAGATTGGGGAGGAATAGTTTCCCAATTCCATTATATAAACTCCAGCTGTTCCTTCCAACATTATACTATTATGCAAATAGATTTCCAGTTGAAAGCTATGCCTTCCATTCTGCATCTGGAGTTTAAAAAAACAACAACAAGCAAAACAAAGACAAACCATTTATACTGTAAATATGTCCAAACCCCATTCAAAGATTATGTATAAAAACCACATTTAAACATTTTGAAATGATACAGGTCAGAATTTACGTAAAGATAGAAACCCAAGAGTTTCTTAATGCTATGTATTACCTATGAGTGCTTTATGTGAGGAGTGCCTTGCACAGAATGAAGCTTTTGGTTGGAGGTTACTATGAAGTATCTCAAACTCCCAAAGTCGCAGAGGAATAAGCCTTGGAGCTCTGCCCAAACTTTTTTTGCTGCACATACCTTCAATCCCTTATTCATGCTATGGATCCATGAGCCAGGAATCACTTCAGCCTCATCCTTTACTTTTTATTTGTTCTTTAAATTCTGCCTGTAGATAATATAGGCAGTTGTTTTAGCATGTCCATTTTAACTAGATGCTTGGTAGTACTAAACTGCACTGTGAAGGTATTTATTTGCTCTTATGAATCATTTGATTTGTCTGGGCTACAGAACAAACCTAAGCTTAAAAAATTAGAATTGATACAGTATTCAATCGTAGCATTTGTTCATCACAGAGAATTTGTGAACTATGCTTCTTTTTAAAAATATATATTTTTATTGAAATTTTTAAGAAAATGAAAAGAAAAAGACATACAAAAAGGAAAAAGGAAGCAAGAAGGAAAAATAAAGCAATTGATATTAGAATAATATATCAGTGGTAAACATCTTATATCAGTTTTAAGTATAATATTACATGTGAATTTAATGTTTTTCTTCCACTGACATTCCCATTATTGCTTATCAATTATTATATCTACATTCTGCATCCATTTAATCATACTGTCTTTAACTTGTTCGGTTTCCAAGTCATATCTCACCAACTGTTTATAAATAAGGCAATTTCTCTGAATTTTGTGTTAACTAGGTTTTCAAATTCAGTCAAGTCTGTGAACTCTGCTTCTAAATATATTAGCTTGATAGAAAGGCAAATCTACAAGATAAGGATTATATAAGTATTCCAGTAGCTAGTAGAATAGGATCTTCCAAATTCTAGAACCGGAGAGAGATGTTTGTATTTCAAAACCTTGGACTAGATAATGGAAGTATGTGGTATCAGTGGTGCTGGGATCAGAAGGAGGAGAATAATCTAGTTGTGATCATACATATTAGTGAATCAATATAATGATGCTCACTGTGCTTGAACAATATTAACTATGCATAATTTAAGGTACTGTTCTTACAGTTTTCCCTCTGTTACGGCTGTCTCCAACACCTGGAGATGACTACAGCTTCAACTTGGATGATAATGAAGGAGTCTGTGATCTCTTCGATGTTCAGATCTTGAACTATTAGATTTGATGCAACCAGATTTCCTCATCTACCTCTAACTATGTAATACTGTAGAAGCAATTTTGTAATCAAGTATTTAAAATAATGAATGCAAAACTTCCATAATTGACCAATGCTGGGCATGAATTTTTCTTTTAGTTTGTTATTGTGACCATTTTTTAAACTTAATGAAATGCACAATTGATACTCAAAGAAATGATAGAGTATCTTACTTACAGGCCTAATTCTCCTCATTGTTTTTTTAGGAAGCAGAATTCATAATTCTCCTTCCCTGCTTCCACTAGAGCTAGCAAATCTGGTCCCTTAGGAACTCCCTACAATAATTCCAAAATTTTGGCCATATGTTTCAACCTTCCACTGCCAATTGTAAAATAAAGGACAGTTTCTTAGGTTATGTTCTCTCCCCACTCCCTGGGGTGAACCCAAAAAACATTCTGTGGAGTGCCTTCTTTATTAGCACTTTAAATGTCTTCTTGTTTTCTTTACTCCTCACATTCCTAGATTAAGGAAAGCACTATTTGTAGTTCATATTAGAGAACACCAATACTTGTATATTAACAAGATTTTTTAAAAATAAAAAGTATACAAAGGATTGTTTGTGACATACCAGAAGATGTGATTTTCACATAGATTTATTGTTTTGCACTACAACTGAGACAGTAAGTTAGCAGCAGCATCCACATTAGCCGGTTTGTCTTCCTGAAACTTTGGAATCTGAAGAAGAGAAATACATGCATCTTGAAATGTTCTGAGTGCTAAAGATTTCATTACCTAGTATGGGCTTTTCTTAGGGATACAGTCTTCAAAACATTTATTTTAGATATTTCAGAAGGAGCAACCCATGCTTCTTAGGCTGCTTCTGCTCAGATTGCAGAAATGTTTGTAGTATTTTTTTTTTTCCTTTTGGGTCCTTCAGTCTGCAGTCATTGCTTGCTGATGAGGGTTGGGATGGGGAGACACTACAGTACTGCAGAAACACATTTTAAAACATTGCTACTACCCAGCAAAATAGATTGAACGTGTGAATACTATAAGAATAACACCAGAAGATCTCTGCAGTTGGGAAAATTTGTTTATCATCCCGAGGATTAGAGAGTATTTCAGGATGCGTTGCTCCCCCTCCCTGAGTAATAATTCATATGGCTTGTTCTGAGGTGCAACATATACATTTAGCAAAGGTACCAGCAAAACCATGAAGACAAGATACTTTGACTCTCTGCAGTGTGTTAAGACCCCAATGTCCCAGGAACCATAGGATTAGTCAGATTTCCCAGCCTTTAGAAATTAGAAAGCTCAAAATATACTGTACAAATTGCTCCCTAAGATATGGGAACTGGAAGGGTGTGAAGATTTGCAGGGTCTCTCCAAATGGACAGAGAGTGAATTTTGCATTGTTTACAAAAGGAAGAACTTTTTACTCTAAGGAAAAAAAGGAAGGCAAGAGACATCACTCCTCCCTGCCAGTCTTGCTATGCCCAAGAATATATCAGAGAGGAACAATAATGTGTTTAAACAAACAAAAAAAACTCTGTTTAGATCATTCCAAGAGATTTAGGGACCAGAATTTCCCTAAAGAGTTTTCATATGAACTCTTACCTGAGGTCTCTTTGAAGAATCTGATGGAACAGCTTCAGACAACTGTTTAACATTTTTCTGTATTTCTGTAAATATCTTATTTATCTTGTGAACTTTTTCATCATTCACAATATTTATCTATTGGGGAAAAAAGAAAAACAATTTGGCCTTTTTTATATCAAGGTAAAACTGAAGCATGAAAGCGCAACTGCTATAAAATTTAAACTGAACATGTCATGTTCTATAATCACTTTGAACAATGAATCTGTTTAATTTTCATTAACTTACAATAAATCATTGTAAAGGTTTAGGACAGAAAGATGCAAGTCAACAAGATAAGCATTCTCACAGAATTTTTCAGTTGCTTTCTTTAGCAGTACCAGCTAAATATTTGTTCTTTAAAACTTAGGGCCCTATCTAGCCAAAGGGATTAACAAATCAAATCTGTAATACTTTTGCTACACATACTACATGTGTGTGAGCACTGAAATCCAATATATGGCACCTTTCACCTATGCTTCATTCCCATGTTGCATGCGTATATCCAGATTGCTGGTCAACTGACTGCACAGTTGCCCTCCGCTAAAGATTAGCTGGTGCTGGGACATCAGCTCCAGACATTTTAGGAAAACAATCATGATTTTTAGGAAAGATTGTTTTATTGACCAGCTAAACCTGTATTAATTACCAATATGAAAAAGAAGCAATTTTGGGAAACAGATCTAACCATTTACAAGGGGTTTAAAGGAATGGAGGGAAAACAAGATTGCACTTGCTGGTCCTAATCCTGACTTCAGTACATTCAATAGAAGAATGAAATTCTGTATGTGCAGATATTTCAGCACAATTATAAATCTTTCACAATCAGAATTCCCAACTGCACATACCAATCCTATGTTAGGAATGCATAACCTGTATCTTCCCAATGTCTTTTTTCTAGTCCTTAGAACCTCTTAACTGCTAAAATCTGAAGGCATGATTTTCTACCATTTGAAATTTGGAAACGGGTAAATCCTAAACTATGCAGATTACGGTTAAGAAGCTATCAAAAAAGCCCAAAGTCTTCTAAAAAAATAAGCCCAGCTTCCACTGTGTCTTTCAGCTCCACCCCCATGATAAGTTTAGCCACCAATGCTATTTGTAAGATAAATCCTGCTGGATCCATTCAAAAGGCCCATTTAGTTGAGCATTCTACTCTGACAGTGGTTAAACGAAGCAGAACATGTTTGTTAGCACATTCCTGCTTGCGTTCCCTAGGACTGGTATTGAGACATATACTGTCTCTGGCAGTAGAGATAATATACAGCAGTCTTCGTGAGTGTAGCCTGTTTTTCTTGGCATTCATAACTATATATTTTGGTAATGAATTCCATAATTTAACTATGTGTGGGCAGATTTATTTCTACCTACCTTGTAATTCCCACCACTGAACAACCTTGAGTAATCCCCTATTCTGGTATTTGGAGAAGAGGCAAAATGCCATGTTTTATTCAAGGTCTCCTCAAATACAGTGGTACCTCAGTTCACGAACTTAATTCATTCCGTGACTCTGGTCGCGACCTGAATTGGTCGCGACCCGAAGCAAATTTTCCCATAAGGTTCAATGTAATTACGGTTAATCCGTTCTGAACCATATGTATTTTTTTTTTAAACCACAAAAATATGACACAAAGTACAGTATGAAGAGAGCCTGAATTGGTCGCGACCCGAAGCAAATTTTCCCATAAGGTTCAATGTAAATACGGTTAATCTGTTCTGACCTCTCCGAATTTGGTCGCCAACCGATTTTGGTTGCAACCCAAATCAAATTTTCCCATAAGGTTCAATGTAATTACGGTTAATCCGTTCTGAACCATATGTATTTTTTTTTTAAACCACAAAAATATGACACAAAGTACAGTATGAAGAGAGAGAATGCTAACCTTGTTCAACGTGACTTCTGGCGTGGAGGACAGGAAGGCGGGTGGGGAGGCAGTTATTGCTTGGAGGGAGAGTCCCCCGCGCCTACAGGAAGCCACGACCACGTGTCACGGGCGGGAA